TCTTCAGCAAGACAGCAAGAGATGACTTTCTAGTTTGGATGAGAATAAAGTACGCAAAAATACACAAATTTTATGCCGGTTTAAAGCCAAATATTTTTCTGTAATATTCAACAATTTCACCTAAATCACCAATGAACACATTATCGAATCCATTAATAAATTCTACAAGTCCGGTGTCGAATTCTTAATTTCTGTTTTTACCTGCTACGGCGAGAGTAAACTTCAGTCTTATTCTCCAAATGTACTGAAATCAAAAATGAGAAGACTTACGCTCATTGTGTGTCTTTCAATGTTCAGAAGGGAAAAAAGGATTATTGTCTCTTGAAATTTGAGTATTTGCTGTCTTGTTGAGTAAGAGATGCCATTTTACGAATCAAGATCGATTATTTTGTGTCTCAGGTGAAGTATGAAGAATTAAGAAATTTCATTTCTATTTGAGAAAAATCCCTTCTTGAAAAGCTGATTTCGTACATGTAAATACCATTCATATGATGAAAAAGACACTATTTTCGTGTTTTACTTATCTCTGAACGTAGTTCTTACAATGTAAAATATGTACACGTTTTATCCTGAAATGCTTTTGCCATTAATCTGTTGAACAAATACATTTATAGGAATGAAAATTGCTTTATTTTCCAAATTTAACTGTTTTCGGCAATTCTGTCTTAACAGCTTCATTCTATCGACCAGATGATGCAGAAATTATTGATGTATATTCGAATTTATTCGAATTTATGTTCAGAAGGTTTTTTTTCGTTGAAAATAGATGTAGGAAATATGAGAAAAATCGTTATCTGTCCCTTGGATTTTAAGCCTGATTTCATGTAAATGTAGTTTGTTTTCTAATTGAAAATGGATGTAGTAGACTATAGGAAATATGAGAAATATCGTGATCTGCCCATTGGATTTTAGCCCAAATTTCATAAGTGAACATGTAGTTTGTTCTCTAAGTAGTTTTTGCAAGGAATTTTTTTTTATTTCATATTCATTTCACTATCTGATGTTCATTAGTCTTTCCAGTTTGTCAATAGCTGTTAGTATAAACGTTGTGTATATATATATATATATTTTTTTATGTAGGACTTTTGACACTTTTTTTGCCAAACATAACGAAAGTGCTCCCAACAATAAGTGTTTGACTGAAAAAAGCGTGCAATTTAAAACAGTGCATTTAATAAAAATCTCACAATTGTCATTATTATATAGAAAAAAAAAAAAAAACAATGGCGGATCAAGGACATTTGAAAGGGGTCAGATGTTGACATTTGGAGCGAGATGGAGTATTTTGAGAACTTGATCATTCGAGTCCAGAAGGGGTCTCTCTCCTCGGGAGGGCGGAGACTAGACCCACCATTGTTTTTTTTTATTTCAATGAAGAAGTTGACATATTTTGTTTTTGTCATTAAGATCAAACATAAGACCATTAATGTGGTAGACAGTTTATTCGTCAAGTCGAATAGATAAGAACGTTATATTTTTACACCTGTAAGTGAATTTAAATGCAGACATCATAATATTATACTATAATATCATAATATTCTTTAAGATACTAAACGCTTTTTAACTTGTAGTAATAAAAAGACTGAATACGATGATATTTTACAGATATATGTTTTATAAATAATTGAATACATAAAAGCAATTTGTATTGCTTATTGCTCTTAATAAAAAACTTATTGAATATACAAAATGTCTTAGCGTATTTACTGATGGCTATATTGCTCAGTGGTAGCGTGGGGTTGGGGTTCGATTCCTGGCTCGGGCACTTTGGAATTACAAAGGGGTGCTATTAGAAATTTTCTTTGCTTACTATAAGAAGAAAGTCTACCCGGGGAGGGTGGGTGGGAACAGTTAGAGGAGTAGGTAACGCGCTTGCCTCTGAGACAGAAGGTCGCCAGTTCGATTCCTGGCGCTTCTATGTCCCAGCAAATTACCTTTTGCAAAAATAAACCCAAATAAACAATTCAAACTACTATAAGAGGATTATACGAATGAGAAAAAACGCGAACTGAGACAGTGGCTCAGTGGGTAAGGCGACAGACTAAGAAGTAGAAAAGGGTAAGCTAGGAGTTTAAAACCTAAGGTTCAGGTCGAGCTGAAGAAAAGAAAGTCAAGAATAAACATGTGACATTTTGCACATCATCNTAAGAGGGTCATACGAATGACGAAAAGCAAGTTGAGACAGTGGCTCAATAGGTAAGGCGACAGACGAAGAAGACGACTGACTAAGTTGATAACCAAAGGTTCGAGTTGAGCTGATGAAAAGAGTCGGGAATGATGATGTGACATTTTACAAATTTTGAAACTACATCTATTACAGCTTTTATGTACGTTTATTAAAACAAATGCAAGCAATTCCACAATACAGATCTATGCAAAGCCCATACATTACGTTTTGGCTCTACATAAAAAGTAATTTTCATAACGACTTCGCATTTCGAGATGTAAATCAAGCTTAAATACAACTATCTACAACTAAATGTGTCGGAGGTTCTATGCATTTTGAAAATTGTCGTTTAAGAACAATTGTTTTGGTTTTTTAACAAGTGTCCAAGAACTCTGCATACGAGACCACATAATACTGACCAGAACAAGAAATTATCAGGTTTTTTTGCTGCGACTTAAAAGAGAAAGTTGAAGATTTGAAGTGAAGTATTTTACAGCCATTGACATTGGTGTATTTGTCTTTTGACTGATCCAAAATTTCAACGAGGGACATTTTTATCCAAATTCAAAGGTGGTATCAAATTGAAAATTCAAAATGCATATGATCTCAAGTAAGCGTTACCCCCACACGCGGGTACACACTCATGACCCCACAACTTCCTCTATGTCGCCATGCTGATGATCACACACAACACCAAACAGCAGTCAAACATTATTCAATTATGTAAATTTGATGAGTGCTTTTCTCATAGATAAATAAATATCACATTTACTCAGAAAATGCTAATAAACTCAAAGATCTCTGGTGTTCAGTGATCAAAAAACACTCAGTAAAAATAACCCAACAGCATGTGCAGGACTGGCACCTTATCAGGCCTTTTGTTCTCAATCACCCCTTGATCCCGACTGAATTATAGAATTAATAATGTGCCAAGTACAAGATCAACATTAAATAAAACGCTGACTTTCCAATTTTGTGTAAAACTTACTCTAGCCAATCAAAGTGTCATTTTTCTGATAGTATTTTGATTTTTCATATTTGATTAGACAAAAAAATCACAAAAGAAAAGATTTTTAGACGATAAGTCAGTAAATTGGCAATTAACAGAAAAAAAAAATCATGTTTTAGAGGATTGACAAAAGTTGAGTCTACAAAAGTTCGTTTAATTACTAGGAAATACCCATTACCCCCAAAACAGAGCTTGTAGTTTTTGATACGAGTTTGATAAAGATTTTTCAAAATTTCAAGTTGTAAAAGATGCGATAAATGCCAGTCCTACATATACATTTTAATTGACAAAAGACGCAAAGGAAACACTTCCTACTATTCACCGTTTCTCTTTGTGAACAGTTCCGCTATGTAATGAAGGTAAAAGTTAATTGTCCTTTTTTATATTAACAAAAACTTATCAATTTCGAAAGAAAAAACTAACTCGACCCCTGGTTTGATTTTCTGAAAACAAAAACATCTTTACCCCCTCCCAGCAATAAAACTATGGGTCTATCACTGAGCAAACATACTACTAGTATATCAAAACACCGGGATCCAAAAGAAGATTATTCTTACCATGCGTCACAACCGCATATTCACATTTCTAGAAAGACCCTATAAAGACGTTTTAATACGTGTGGGCAATTCTAACAAAACTTGAGCACATTTTACAATTTTATACTGCCGTTAATTCTTAATTGCATAATTTGGATCACAACGTTTACAATTTATTGTAGATTTTTTCATTGAACCCATAATAAAATGCCTGTATGCATTTTACGTAATGAAGTTGCGACTATTTTTTTCTAAAGTTAGCTTCATTAAAATCAATATTTGTATCCAATTTAATATGAATAAACGTGCATTTTCGTGTCTTCTTACCTAGTTGCCCACACACAGGGCCGTAGCCTCCGGGGGGGCAGGGGGGGCAGTTGCCCCCCCTGGGATTTGAGGTGCAAAAAAATAATCGCAAAGGTGAATAAAAATAATTGCAAAGTTGGTATCAATTCTGTGAGAAAATGCGCTCATGGCCACTAGACAATCATTCAACAATCTGTTTACAATGGTGTACTGTTTTTAGACAATCTACGAAATGAAGTACAATTGGCATGTTGTGTTGAAAAAATGACTGTACCTATGGCAAAATGAACCCACAATTTCTGACTTCTGATTTAGCAATAGTTAAAATGCACCAGAATTCAGTATTATACATACAGTTTTAAAAAAATTTCCACACCGTGGGAGGGGGACCCCCCCCCCACCACCACCACCACACACACACACACACACACCCTCCCCCCTTGGGGGCTTCGCCCCATTGTGTCCGCTTACTGTCCCCCCCC